GAGAGAATATGTATGAAATTTGTTACATATTGAATGATAATTTTTGCTGAAAAGTGAGTTTTTTTATATGAAAATATAATCATATGATATATATTTCTTATATTATTTATTTTTTGTTTTGTGATTAGAATTATTTATTTAATGTTCTACCTCATTATTTGAATAAAATATATATCTATTTTATATATATATTTTATACATTATATATATAATATTTATATTTGTTATAAAGTTATATTTTGATATGATATATGTAAATTTATAAAATTTGTTAAAAAAATTATTATCATATATATATGATTATAATATGATTTTTCGTTTATATTTCATAATTTTTTATTTCATAATCATCATAATAATTTATATTTTATACAAAACCACATTTTACTACCATTATGCATTTCATTGATTTATTAAAATTGTTATGTTAATATTTGTTAATTAAGATATACATGGAATTTATTTTTTTGATAATTTTATTAAAACATTGTTTATTAAAACAATTTGGAATAAATAAACAAAAAAATTTAGCATTCAATTTTACATTTAAGATTGTAAATTTAAGATTGTGAATTCCCTAGATTTTGATCACGTGAATCATCTCGTTCAATGAGCAATATTCAGCTAAAATACATTTCCCTAGATTTTGTACAAATTCTATATATTAGTTAAAATTATTTATATTAATTCATTCATTTCGAAATTATTTTATTTAATGACTTAAAATCAAAATAGTTTTATATTAAATATTTTATGATATGTATAATTAATGTTTATCATTGACTAGTTCTTTTATGTATTTTAATATTTCCTAGACTTTTCTTTCTATATAGACGTATTCAGAATATATTGATTGACATTCACAGATTTCATAAGATCGTTCTTTGGAAGTTCTTCGAAAAGAAAAAATATGTTCGTTGTTCAAAAAATAGCTAACAGAACACCGTTAGCATTAAATCTATACAAAACTCAATGCAGAACAAGTTTTCTTGGTACACCTCCAAGAGTTAGAGTATCTTTTACTGTAAGTATTATTTTTCTAAAAGCATTTATATAACAAATCAGTTATTTTTAGTATTATATTATAATATAGTAAATATAATATAGTATATTATATTATTTTCATTTAATTATTTTTTATATAATTTTGATAGTTTTTAATTAAAATTTAAGGAATATCTTTATAAATATTAATATTGAATTTAAGCACTAAGAATTATATAAAATTATAATTTTTAAAACGACGCAAATAAATTTAAAATAAATATATTATATTTTTATAAAAAATTCATATTTTGACTCAAAAATATAAAAATATAAAAATATTGATCTGTTTAATATTTTTATATAATATATATTCTATAAAAATATTCAATCAAGTAAATCAATAATTAAACATATTAATATAATTATCAATAATTAAATTTTGCATTTTATTGCTTCTTTTAAAAAAGCAAAATATATAAAAAAATTTTA